TACATGGAAGTTAATTCATTAAGGGTATTTTTGACACTTGGCTGGGGGCAGAGCCAGAGGACACTATTAAAACATCTTTAGGGCAAGAAAGAAAGGATGTTTTTGGATTGGAGAAAATAGAGATTACAGGAGAGAAGGATTGGGGAAGCAAGGTTACGACTGACGGAGAACTTCAAGGTGTCACCATTGAAGATCAAAGTCTAAGTTCTTGTAATGTCAATTCCTTTTAATTTATTAATCTTGAATTCTATGAATAACTAAATTCCCCACTTGCTAGGGGTTGGTTCTAATTTGGATCTTGTAATGATTATGAATCCTTAGTTTTTCGATTCAGATATTATGTTTCTTCAATTTAATTATACAATGATTTTATGCATTCTCTTTCGGAACAATTGAGATTGACTTATGACTGATGAATATAGGACTATATTTGTTAGAGTTTGTGTATAATTTGGTTATAGTAGATATCTCCTAGGACTAGGGATACCCTATGATTATCATATATGACCTTGATATTGATTTACTTGAATGCATTATTATTCTTCTTGGGTATAGGGATTAATTTGCACGTTCAAGGGTTTTTCTCTAAGGACTTAGGAAAAACACTATAGAGGTTGATAATTGAAGTAACATAGATTTTTCTGAAAGAAATTGGGAATAATAACCTTTATAGGCCAAATTGACCGAACCATTCCCCTAGCTTGTTTAATTAAAAGAAAGTTAATTATTTTACATTGTCTTGTGTAGAGAATTTTTTCATACAACAAACTTCTAGTTTTTGTCTACTTGATAAGACTGATATTTCGTATTTGCATTGCAATCCTTGAGATCGATATTCGTGAATTAAAAATCACTAAAACTACATCGACAAAAATAGTACACTTGCTATTTTCCGATCACACTGCATCAAAAAATGAGTGATAGCGAAAAGAATACTTTTAATCAACTGAGCTCTGCCAGCAAAGCTTAACAACTTTGTGCTCTAGTGCTTAACTCTGTTAATGATTTTTTCCATCAATATCAGACAATGATGGTTGGAAATCTTCTTACACGTGAGGGGTATACCCAAATACCTAAACGGCAAGGGGCCTTCAGCAAAAGAAGTGACCTGGAAGATATTCTGCTTAATTGTGTCATCCACGCTACCATAGTAAGCATTGCATTTAGTAGGATTCACAAAAATCCCAGTTGAATTAGAAAATTTATCAAAAGTTATTAACATGGTCTTCACATATTTAACATCACCTCTAGATAAGAGTAAAAGGTCATCCACAAAATAGATTTCCACAATATGCAAGGACTTACATCTAGAGTGGAACTTAAACTCAGAGTTATTTCTTAAGTTGTCCATGACCCTATAAAGGTACTCCATGACAATCACAAACAAGAGGAGATACAAGGGGTCACCTTGTCTCAAGCCACGCTTAGAAACCAACAAATTTGATATGTTATTATTCATATTATACATGTAGGTGACTGAAGAAACTATCAGCATAATCCAATTAATAAACTTGGAAGGAAAACTCAAATCTCTAATAATATCCTCTAAAGCCCCCCAATAAGCAGTGCCATAGTCCTTCTGTATATCCATTTGAAGCATACATCTAGGGGTGCCACCTTTAGTGTTGTAACCTTTCAAGAGCTCGTAGGCAAGCAAGATGTGATCATGGATGTGCTCACCAAGCACAAATGCAGCTTGGCTCACATTGATGATACTACTGAGAACTTTCCCTAGTCTGGAAGCTATCACTTTAGAAATAATTTTGTAGAGGGTAGTGCAACACAAGATGGACCTATAATCCTTAACCATACTAGCAAAGATGTTTTTCAGGATAAGAGTAACCAAGTTGTTGTTGACAACTTTAAGCATCTTCCCCTTTTCAAAGAACTCTAAAACGGCATTTATAATATCTTCCTAATGATGTGCCAAGAATTCTTGAAAAATTTCGAACCAAAGTCTTCTATATCTGGAGTTGTAATGTCTTGGATACCTTTAAGAGCCTCTAAGACCTCATTTTCTGTAACAGTGGTATTAAGCAGCTCACAATGCTTCAAGTTCAGTTGAGGTCCTTTTCGCATAATCTCAATGTTGATTTTATTGATTTTATCCACAACAATTCCAATAAGATTCCCATAAAAATAAAGGACTTCCTTCTCAATGTCAATTTGATCACTAATAATGTCACCATTCTGACTGATTAAAGTGTGAATATGCTTTTGACTTTGCTTACTTTTGAGAGATGCAAAGAAAAGGGCATTATTACTGTCACCCAATCTCATCCATTGGATTTTAGATTTTTGTCTGAGGAGATGTTCTTCAATATTACTCTGCTTTATAAGCTCAGTAGAGAGGTACTTGGTTCTCTCAATTTTTGTGACGTTCATTCTGTCGAACACCAGATCCTGCTGAGCTTTACTCAGCTCCTCTCTAAGGTTTGCAATATGTTTTCGCATACCATAAAAACACTTGCTTTTCTCTACGGGTTTGAGTCTTTTTAATTTTTTCCAAATTATGAACATAGCACACACATGTATAGGGGAGTTCCAGCTATCCTCTATTTCTTTTAAGTAGCCAAGAGTATACACAACAATATTAGGGAATTTAAAGTGATACTTGAAATTTCTATTTTGCTGCTACACTTGAATGCACAATAGGGCATGGTCAGACACTCCAACCTCCATGATGAGCAATTTAGAGTTAATAAACTTTTGCTGCCACTCCATATTCCCAATGACCCTGTCTATTCTCGAATAAATTGTTCCACTACAGTGATTATTGGACCATGTAAAGTGATCCCCATGACTATCTTTCTCATATAAGCCAGTGTTCTCCATCATACTCACCAAATCCTCATACTCGTTTTCACGGACTGGTTTTCCCCCAGTTCTGTCCATCACCGAAATGACTATTAAAATCTCCCATCACCATCCAAGGGCAAAACAGAGTAGTGTGAATGGCACTGATATTTTTCCACAGATTTTTTCTTTGTGTCGGGTGGTTTTGAGCATATATTGCAGTACATAACATCATAAGCTCCCCCTTCAAAGAAAGCACTATGAAATGGATGAGCTAATCAGTGATACTATCTTTGGTAACCTTTATTCTATTCTTATTCCACGGAATCCAAATACGAACATTCCCATGCTTGGAATAGTTGTTAATGTAGGATCATCTAACACCAAACTTCTTCCTAATATTCTCTGCTTTATTCATCTTTACTCTAGTTTCTAGAAGAATAACAAGGTCAGGATCAAGCTTGTTAAGACGGGTTGCAATCTCATTACACTTGCCTGCATTATTCAACCCTCTTACGTTCCAGCTAATGATCATGTTTCCACTCATGTCACCTCAAAAGTTTCATTCAAATCCCTTATAGGATCAAAGCCATTCTTGCAATGCAGGTTGTTCTCGCTAGTTCTAACCGTTTCCTTGTCCTGAAACACGACCTTACCTTTCAATTTTCTAGTAACATGAGTCCAAGTTGGAGAAACAAGGTTAGAGGGGTTGATTGGAGTGATGACTTCCTTAGGCTGCACCACATCTGTCTTAGGCATAGGATTCCACTCTTTTACTATCTTCTTCCTCTCCTTCTTGCAGTCATGCCTGGTTTTCTGGCAAACATCACAGAATCGAGGTTTCAACTCAGATTCTATAAGTTGTATCATTTTTCCCCTTCATTGTCTCTAATTATAATAGTATCCTTCTGCTTTTGATTAATTTTTATTTCAATAAGGATGCGAGCGTAAGAACATGTATCTTGTTTGCAGTACATTCATCAGAGAAAAGAGGCTTACCAATTGGGCTACCAATTTGTCCAAGGATTTCAGGTCCCCTCACATATAAAGGAAAATTGGGTAAAGTTACCCACATCGGCAAAGTCCTTATCATGTCTCTCTTAAAGTTGAAGTTTGGGCTCCATTCCTTTAACACCATAGGCATGTTATGAATGGAATACGGTCCCCTCATCAACACCAGATCCTTGTCTTTAGTCTTTCCAAACTTTAAGAGGAAGTATCCCTCATCATGGTAAAAAAAATTCTGGTAATTGGGCAAAGTTCTAAAACCTAATCATGAATTGTTTGATAACATTCATACTTAGGTATTTACCAAGCACATACATAATTAGCGTGTTATCCCAATACCTAATTTCTTCAATAATGTCTTTTGGTTCGATGGTTACCTTAATTTCTCCATTCACAATGCTGGGAGTTGTGTAGCTTAGCGCCAAACCATTAGCTGGGATGTGAATGCCACTTATGACACTAACCCAGAGCTTTTTCTCAGGCACCTCCTCCTCACACACAATTTTTACTTCATCTTCTTTCTCCCCAAGCAATTGGAGGTGTCTTCCTCAGTCACTGTGTTCTCCAGCTCACAAGTATGCTTACCAGTTTCACTTGTACTAACCTCAACAATAAGGGGTTGTGTCGTCGACGATGGGACCTTATTTTTTGGCCTCCCACACATACGACCCATCTTGAAAAGAAATTTGCAAAGAATAAACACACCACAAACTAACTAAAATACCACACACCCAAAGACCCCTAATCCGAAGATTAAGAATTTATGCCATTGGACGCAAGGATTTCAGCTTGTAGACCACCAAAACTGCACGCCGAGAGTATCGAAAATCATCGCCGCCAGTATCGAAAATCGTTAGAGTATTTCTTCCTGAGTGTTATGATACGATGTTCATATTATTATTATTATTACTATTTTTTTAATCAAAAAATTGCATTTTATTGATATAAAAAACAGAATAACTATACAATAGGCGATCAAAATGGATCTTGCCCTATAGAAATCCAAAACGACAAAAAAGACAACAAGGAAACAAAGGAGATTATATCATCATCCTTTTGGCTATGTGTTTCCTCAACTTAATGATATTCCACCCTTTATACACTATATTATCAATTATATCTTTCTCTATACTTCTATCATTAACATCGCTTTTAAGAATCTTCTCATTTTAATACTTCCAAGCATTGTACATGGTTTATGTGGTTGCTAGCTTGAGCATCATAGATTTCCAAGTTCTGCTTCTTCCTTTTCTGCTAAGCCATTGTAGCTCTTCATTCCATTCAGCAGGTTCGTGCTTTACTTGAATCCATGCTAACACATTCTTGCAAATAGCCTTCAATGTATCACAACCAAAGAAAAGGTGTTGGATATTCTTCTCATTGTCATAAAAGCAACAAGTACTCTCCACACACATCCCATATTTATGAGTTCTATCACGAGTAGCTAACCTCAAGTGACACGTCATCCTCTTCATACTAAATTTCTCATGATGATTTAATTTCTCCCACACGATGTTACTTTGCACTTTATTTCTAGCATGTAGAATACAATTCATCACCCAAGAATAATTCGTATTATAGTTAATACTCATTAACTCCTCATTCTTTAGATAGTAGGTGTGCACCCACTTAACCCAGAGACTCTCCTTATTTTCATTTATGTTTCAGAGAATTTTTTCCAACTGTGTTTGGTTCCAAACCTCCAAGTCAATAATATCGAGACCATCTTGGTGCTTTGGTATGCATACTTTATGTCATTATATCAGAGATTTTCTACTAACCACATAATTTCCAGTCCAGATGAAGCTTTTGCACCTCGAATCTATCCTCCTAATGAATGCTTTTGGTAAAGGCAGACACTGCATCCAAAAGTTTATAGTAGCAAAAGTCACACTTTGGATCAGCTGTACCCTTCCTGCATAACTTAGAAGTCTAGAACTCCAGTGGTTAACTTTGGCAAGGGTCTTATCAATGAGACAGTCATATTGGTGAATTGCAATTCTCCTGGTGGTTAAGGGGATTCCCAGATATCTGAAGGGGAACCTTCCCTCTTTGAACCATATTATCTCCTTGACCTCCTTCATACTGTTCTCTTCAACTTATCCAAAGAAAATGTTGCACTTATGAGGATTAGCTTTTAGCCTAGTAGAAGCAGAAAACTGTATGAATTTCTCCATTATTAATTCAATAGAAGTTTCATTTGACTACTTGATCTTTCTTCAATAGTTTGAAGATTGGATCACAAGTAGCTGTCAGGTGAGAAATGAATCTGGCAATGTAGTTTAAACGTCCCAAGAATCCTATGACTTCCTTCTCAGTACGAGGAGCAGGCATCTCTTGTATCGCTTTTACCTTGGCAGGATCTACTTCAATACCCTTGTTGCTGACAACAAAGCCTGGGAGTTTATCGGACCTTACTCCAAATGTGCATTTATTTGGATTCAACCTCAGCTTGTACTTCTTCAGTCTCTCAAACAGTTTTTGTAAGTGATCAAGATGATCTTCTTCTGTCTGAGATATGGCTATCATGTCGTCTACGTAGACCTCTATTTCGTGATGTATCACGTCATGAAATAAAGCTACCATGGCACGTTGATAGGTTGCCCCAACATTTTTTAGTCCGAATGGCATCACCTTGTAGCAGAATATGGCCCACTGTGTGACAGATGTTGTTTTCTCCATGTCCTCATGCGCCATTTTGATTTGGTTGTAGCCTGAGAAACCATCCATGAAGGAAAACACTTTGTGTTGTACCGTATTATCAACTAGAATATCAATGTGAGGGAGTGGAAAATCATCCTTAGGGCTTGCCCTATTCAAATCTATGTAGTCCATACACATTCGCACTTTACCGTCCTTTTTGGGTACGGGAACAATATTGGCAACCCATTGGGGATAAGAGGTGACAGCCAGGAATCCAGCATTGAATTGCTTCATGACTTTTTCCTTAATCTTTTCTGACATATCAGGCCTCATGCGGTGAACCTTTTGCTTTACTGGCGGACAATCTTCTCTTGTAGGCAGACGATGTACCACAATGTCTGCATCAAGTCCCGACATGTCTTCGTATGACCAGGAAAAGACGTCAACATAATCGTGTAATAACTGAATCAGATGCTCCTTGACACTGGGTTCCAGATTGGCACCTACCTTAACCTCTTTTTTGTCTTCTTCGGTACCTAGGTTGATTGTATCCACGGGTTCCTCGTGAGGTTGAATGGTTATCTCTTCTTGTTGTAGTAATCTGGCAAGTTCCCCTGGTACTTCACAATCGTCTTCACCTTCGTCTTCGGCTTGGTAGATTAGATTCTCAGAGTCACAAAAGGCCATAAAAGTATCGTTACCCATAGGATCCCGAATGGATGTATACCTGCATTGTGAGTGTGAGTGTATGTAAGGGTATAGCTATCCTTGAAAGAAATGAAAATGTAAAAGAAAAACAATGAGCACAAAAGTTTGTATGCGAAAACGTACATGATTCATTGATGTCATATGAAAATAAGATAATAACGCTTACAAATGGAACAATGTGCCTCGGGTAAGACACAAGGTTTTAAGAGTGCAAATTGTTTTAATATTACAGATCCAACAAAATGTAAAGACAAATTATTGTGGGATAAAAGTGATTGAGAAAAAATCTCTAGCCTCCCAATTGTTGAGCCCTCCATTGACAGTTGGGAAGATCCAATCCTCCAAGTTATAGCCATCTTCACCATCTTCTACCGCGTTGACTTCACGGTTGTGATCTTCAGAGGTGGTCCTCCAGCACGAGCGTGGCGTACAGCCTTCTGAGCACTTGAAGTGAAACCTAGGCCAAACTTGTCAGACTTATATGGGATATCTGGGAGTTGTCCCCAGATAGTGCACCCGCCTTCTTCTATCACTGCCTTGGCATCCTTTAGAGATGACATCTGGAGTGGAGGCCTTGTAATCTTGGGAACCTGAGATACAGCATTGGTCACTGCCACATCTTGGGGGACTTCTTCAAAGTGTTGAAATGGAGTTTCAATAAATTCACCATCTAATTCCATATATCTGAAGGAATTGAGATGGCTAATCATGTACTCTTCCTCTCCATGAACGGTGATAATCTTCCCTTGAATTGGATACTTCAGCATTTGGTGCAACGTAGAAGTAACAGCGCCAACATTGTGGATCCATGGTCGGCCTAGCAAGCAGGAGTATGAAGGGTGGATGTCCATTACATAAAAAGTTGAATTGAAAGTTTGGGTTCCAACCTTTATGGGGATATCCACTTCCCCATGCACCATCCTTTTAGAGACGTCAAAAGCCCTTACTACTATGTTGCTTGGCTTTAAATTCAATCCCTCACAGTCAAGTCTATCAAGAGCTTTTTTAGGTAATACATTCAGAGATGAGCCAGTGTCCACCAAAACATGAGCCAGGGTTGTGCCCCTACATTCAACTGAGACATGCAATGCCTCATTATGCTTCCTTCCCCTTGGCGTTAGATCAGCATCTGAAAAACCTAAGCCATTATCTACAGTCGAGATGGCTACGCAGTCTTGGAACTGATCGACAGATGTTTCTTGAGGTACATGGGCCATTTTTAAGAACTTTACCAAAGCCTTTGCATGCGCCTCAAAACATAACAATAAAGCCAGCATATAGATTTTAGATGGAGTTTGCCCCAGTTATTCAACTACATCGTAGTCGCTTCTTTTTATGATTTTTAGGATCTCCTCCATCTCTTTCCTGGAGGTCTCAGGGAAAGTCAATGATTGTGCCTTCGTCCGGACAAGCTCAATCAGAATACTTTTTCCTCGAGTCTCAGTTAACTCGGAAGCCGGAATATCAGTAGGGGTGATAACAACTTCGTCAATAGGAGTACTTGCAGAGATGATTGTGGGATTGGGAGTAACCTTTGGAACAACAACATGAATGATTACAGGTCCAGAAACAGCCTTTGAGGGAGCAATTTCTGGAGAGAAGATCCTACCACTTCGGGTAATCTTACTAGTCCCTGCAACATTACTGACGTCGGAATCCATTTTCTCAGAACTTGAATCTTCGGCATCTGGCCAATCTTGCTTAATACCGTGGTAGTAGACATCCCCCCCATAATTCCATGGTACGGTTTTGTCTGACGCATACTGGACTGGTCCAGGTATTGTAATTATCAAAGGAGTTGCTTTCGGAACTGATGTAATTCTAACGAGTCTTTTGGTGGAGACCCTGGAAGAATTGACGGAAATGGTGATGATAGAAACATCTTTAAAAGGAACAGGTGGAACTGAAGTCTTTTCAAACAAAATTTCTTTGTTATCTATTAGGCACTGAACGTCTGCTTTCAACAAAGGACAACTGGTTGGTGAGGATAAGCAGAAATGACAAACTTCATCACATCCCGGAAACACACCGGCATTCAGCAAGTTTACTTTAATAGTCAGGAGCGGGGTCGTAAGGTCATCAACTGAAGTAACAAACACTTCTTCTTCAATGGTATTTGTATTATGGCCATGTTTGGGCATAGGGGCAGAAATGACATTTGGCTTTTCGGGTGCATCAAATTCAATCTCTTTTACTTCAATGAGGTCTTGTATTTTGTTCTTTAAAGCCCAACAATTATTAGTATCGTGACCAGGACTTTCAAAGTGATATGCGCAACGGGCATTAGGATGATAGTGAGGAGATGTTGTGTTACGGTTTTTCAGAGCTTCTTTCAAGGTCACCAAATTGGATCTTAGTAGATGCGGTAATACCTAAGATAGGGTTATGTTAATTTTGGTGAATTTCCTGACCAGTCTTTCCATCCTCGGTTGGTTGTTTCTTTGTTGATCAGGCGCAGGTTTAGTAATCATAACAACCCCCACCATTGGACGGTGCTCGGTCCTATCTTGATTTCTATGAGGGTAAACGGCAACCACTTCTTTCTTTCTGATAAACGGCTTCCTTATAGCAGCAAAAGAGGATGTATCTTTCTGAATATTTCCACTATTTATCCCGGCCTCTACCCTTTCTCCGATTAATATCAGTTCAGTAAAACCCGTCGACGAACTCCCAATTAGGTGATTGAAGAAGGGACCAGACAAGGTGCCCAAAAACATGTCCACTAATTCTCTCTCAGATAGATGAGGTTGAACTCTTCTAGCCAAGTCTCTCCATTTTTGCGCATAGTCCTTGAAACCTTCATTGGAAACCATGGCCATACTCTGGAGTTGAGTACGGGTAGGCGCACGATCATCATTGTATTGGTATTGTTTATAGAAGGCTACAGTAAGATCTTCCCAATTATGAACATTGGCTCTTTCTAGTTGGTAAAACCAGTCAAGTTGAGTTTCAGACAAACTGCCTTGAAGAAGTGTACCCATAAGTCTTTATCAGCGGTATGGGGTTGGATTTTCCTCACATATGACTGGAGGTGCATTTTAGGGCATGAAACTCTGTCATATTTGGAGAACACTGGTGCTTTGAATTTCGGAGGAATAACAATCCCCGACACTAA